TGTGTGCTGTGTCACAATGACAATGGGAGTTGGAGGAGTTTCCCAAAGGGCTTTCACTTTCATCTGTTTGCTTCTTATTTTATTTTCAACCATAAAATGAAAACAACATAAATAATTTCCACAAACTCGCCGTCATTATTTTGTGGGTCGCATCTCAGCTCAGCATATGTACAATCACATGAGTACTAAAACAAACCCAAACAGGTCTCACTATCTTTGCTGGGCCTTTTCATTGACTTCCATTCATTTCTGAAGCCTAACTGTGACCCTTGCCCTAACCATTACAGGTTCATACCTAATCCAACATAACCTCAAATCACAACTTAGTCCTTAACGTCCTAAAGGTCCAGGCATCGGGCCCTACAAGGGGTAGCTGGTTCCCAAAACATGCTATTTTCCCTGAAAATAGACACGGCAGGCTTAACTTAGTCCAAATGTCATCTGTAGTCAGGAACTACCACAAAACACGAACAGCTAAAGATGAAAGAAGACGTGGTAGAGCGCTACTTTGATCAGAGGCTGCTTCATAAACACCCCCAAACAGAAACCCACACTTAAGGCATGAGTGGAAGCAGGCATGTAGCTGGGGACAAACAAAAGGTGAAACAAAATTCAGTTTCACTGATCATAGGATGCCCATAATCAAACTTTAGTGTTTAAAATACAGTAGACAAGGAAAGTATTCAGACCCCTTTAAATTTGTCACTCTTTGTTTAATTGCAGCCAAAAATGAACAGTATGGGAATTAAATATGTGTCACAGCAAAGGGTCTGAATACTTGTGAACTTTTGATATTTCTGTTTTTTGATTATAAAATGGCTGCAATGAAACAAAGAGAAAAATTTGAAGGGGTTTGAAAACTTTCCGTACCCACTGTATCTGGAATTCTACCAAGTAGAGGGGCGCTGATACCACTATTCATGACTCACAAATCCAAAAAGGTTGTTTATGATCATCTGTAGACATTTTGGAAGTCAATCAGTGATCATGATTTAAGTAAATCTTTTTAAATAAATAAGTAAATATTGGGGAAAAATCTTTGAGGTATAGATTTTAACAGCTGTTAGCAATGGCTATATTTTCTTATCTATAAAAGCTAGTCAGATATTAATGGTAAAGATAAATCCAAGAAAAAAAGGGACATCAAAAAACTGTAAAATCTCCTAGCCTCATCATGGTTGCGAGTTGTCAGGGCAAAACCTTCAGGAGGACAGAGCATGGTAAGCCAAAGCAGCTCATCAATCTTTTATTTTCAAATGTAGCAGGATAGTGGACATTTTACCCAAATACTGATACATGATAATTAGACTTGGACAACTTTCTGTGTGCACTTTGTGTATACAAAAAAAATTATAATAATAATTTTGTACACCTGTAATGATATTTCGATTTGTTAAAGTGCAGCAGTGATAAAATGTAAACAGTGTGGGTTTGATCCACACTGTTTTATAACTGAAATATACACAGATGATTATAATTTTCGTAATTAAAGTCTTAGGGAAATGACCGTTCCAACCTTTGCAGTTCGAAATTCTCCCGAGTGGTGCACGACTTTACACGAGTGAATAAAATTTATTTGATTGGTTGTTTATCAAAAGGACCGGATTGTTGTGGCAGAAGTTCGCAAGCAAGTTTGATTGTGGCTGGTTTCTCTGAAGCATTGTTGCTAACTAATTAGCAACTTAGTGCTAGTAGGTTCCCAATGGGAAATTACATTGGTACCAAGTAGCACTAAATTGGTGACTTAGCAATGAACCTTTAAGGAACGCAATGGACAGCTGAAACAGGCAAGAGGAGGAGAGTTTTGTGTCGGAGGTCGTGAATGAGTCTCCTCCGTCATACATTTTTTATTTAGAAGGAGGAAAGCGGGGACAAAGATGTTTTGGAAGAGGAAGCCAGGGAGGAGAAGCTTCTTTTGTGGTAGATGGCTTAAAGCCATACATGTTTGAGCCCTTGCAACACTGCCAATTATGTTAGCTCTACGCCTGCCGAAGACACAGACGTCCATCCCCATGAACACCGGGCTGTAACTCAATAGTAAAGCAACAAAGAATAAATTATTCTTATTTCAACCATTGCATATATTAGCTGCAAAATATGAATCCAGATGCTATGACCAAAAAAATTGATTGACAGATTACCCCTGATATTTTTTAGGTGTTCAGGCTGACGTATAACTAAACTGGCCTCGCAGAAGATAACGAAAAACCCCCCGAGATTTTAAGACAGAGTTTTTGGACAATATCATCTGATAGAGTACATTTTTTATACATTTACATTATACATTTAAGCCAGAATGATTTCCCTACGACTTTAAGAAAATTAACCCCTGAGTCAAATCTTTGCCCCAAATGTCACACAGCCACATTTGAATAGGCCCAGTATCAAAGCATAACTGTAAGACAAAATAGGGCATCTTATATAAAGATATACTCTCATTATATCCTTCTCTAAATATCTTGATGCATTGCCCAGGCCTTTTGAATTTAAGATAGCAATCTTTTTTTATCCAAACAAGTACATGTTTGGATTTTTACTGCCTCGAGGAGAAAAACAATCGAAGAAGTACAGCATAGTTGACTCTCCTGGACAGATGTGTGTGAATTGACCAGTAAACAGAAAAAATGTGTCTCACCCAGGCTGTGCATGCCTCCATCGCCATGTCTATGATGTACGTGTGATGCCTGTGAGAGGAGGGAGTGGTCTAGAGAGGAAGGAGGAGGTGAGCATGTGAGTGAGGGTGGGGCTACAACCAGAAGGTGGGAGGTGATCAAATGGAAGGGATGCCAGGTTCGTACGAATTTCAGGAAGGTGGGAGGGGTGCAAAGGACAAGAACAGCAAGTTCATTCCACAAAAAAAAACAAAACAAAAAAAACCCCCAGAAACAATGTCACCAAGGTCAGGCAATAAGTTTGGGAGAAAGTTGGTCGAAATCAATGGCACAATTATTAATTTAGTGACACAGGCAGGAAGGATTAAGTAATTTTGTGAGTTTAACATCAAAGGAATGCAGGAAACCCAGAAGAGGGAAAAACACAAAAATGACAACACAAAGAGCACACACACAATAAAAAAAAAAATCATTAGTGGCATTTCACTGATCACCCTGACATGTTGTTAGCATCATGTTAGCTTTATTAGCGGTTAGTCAGCTGGCAAACAGAACAAATCCATCCTTATCATAGAGATTAAGCAGAGAAATCAGAACTACAGATCTGAAATAAATATAAAAGCAGATTTGTTCTGCCTCATGCTAACCATCAAATTATTAACTTCATTGTGATTATGTGTACCCAATAAACAGATGGAGTCCAACACATTTCCAGTGCTTCAGTTATTCTAAAAACAAGAACCTGAGAATACTAAGCATATTTTTTTCTGTAAGATCAATCAAAGTACCTGAGCGGGGCTTCAGCCCAAAAGGCGGACTGGATAGTGAAGGAGGTCCCATGCCTGGAGATCTGTCTTCCCGCTGCAACAACAGAAAGGAAGCATAGCTATGAAAAGTCAATCCTTAGAACATTTATAGAACAGACAGGTAATATTTTCTGAGATGTTCGAGCAAGTTACATAGACTCAAAAATGTCTCAAACAAAAAGCACAGAAACACAAACTTCTGCCATGAAGCTTTATCAACAGAACTTCAAAAATTGAAGTTAAAGGCAACTGCATAACTCCTTACACAGCTCTTCTCATCCTACCTTTAGTATTTTAACTCTCGAACAGGCAAACATAACTGTTTGCAGCACGTAGACATTTATAGCCATAGCTTTATCTTCAGTAATTATCAGAAGAAACCAGTCTAAAGTAACTTTGTGATAAACCAGTGATAAAGCAATGTTTAAATTATTGGGAGAAGTGTTTACAGGAATTGTTTTCACTAATCACAAGTCTTATACGGGTGTTATTTCTCTGCCCTGCCACTTGTAGGCAGTGTGTTTTTTTAAGTAGGTGCATAAATGTTGCTTTAAATAGGCTTCTTCAGCAGGTCATACAGCACACGTGAAAGGGTATCTAGCTACTTTTGTATATTTTTTTTTTTATTCAAGAAAAAAGCGATCTGAAAGGGGTAAATCATTATGAGAGTAAAATAAATGTATTGGAATTTTCTTTTTGATAGAAAAAATCATATGTATTTGAGACTGCAGACAATGTCTTGAGAGAAAATTGACCTTTGGAAAATAATTTCCAGGAGCTTACAGCTGTGCTGATGGGTGGGGTTAAAAGTCTGTGAAGTTCAACAACACTTCTGCAACTGGGCAAGATGGCATGCATCGCATTTGTGTTATGTAAATAACCAAAATGCTCACATGTGCAATAGGCTGCCAGATGAAATGTGACACATATAAGGGAGCTAAGCCAGTTAAAAAATAAACAGCAAAAACAAAAACACAACAGTCAAATTACTAAGGAAGCTCAACTGAAGACAGTTGACTCTGATGGGCTGGACAGAGCCTACATCTAGAGGTCTGCTGCTACCGTTACCTTCATATGCCAACCATACTCCTGGCATGCAAGCCGGGCCTCATACTTGGCCTTCTCTAGAATCATCTGCCTCTTCTTCTGGAATTCATAGCCTTCCTCTTCCATGTGCTGCTACAGGACGCATAAAGCATTTAGGGAATAGGTGCTCTTGATTCCTAAAAGGTTTAAGACTTAACTCTAAATATTTGCATACTGCAATTTCCTTGTAAAAAGACAAGGCAGTTTTTAAAGAAATAGCCTGGCAGCAACTCAATAAGAATTGTAGAATGCAGAACTGAGCATAGAGGATATTTCTAAACACCAAACTTTTTTTTTCCTCACAAAAACATATTTAGCTTTGACAGAAGGGCTTAATTTCCGATAAAACGAAGTGAATTATCATCATCACGAAGGAATTTGAAAGTATGTTGAAAAACATACAGAAAATAAGAAATTATTTTCATCAAATAAAAACAAACAGCTCTAAGCCAGCTGCTTTTATGTAATAAATACATTTTATATCCACTGTGTTCTGTCTCAAGTTATTTAGGTACTATCAATAGAAAGTAACACAATTGACAATACAAGCTGCTAGCTAGGCATGTGCAAGAAAGAATTGATCAGGATACTTGAAATCGATTGATATTAATTTAACAAACTGTACCTTTGGTGTTGAGCTGCCCTCATCTACGTCCTGTCCGCTAAAAAGAAACAAAGGAGACAAGACAAGAAATATTAAGATCTAAGAACATATTTACAAAATCAAAAAATTCAATTAAATTAAATTACAAAATATTTGATCAATCGCAAAGGAAAATAAAATGTTGCAGCAATTCTTTAGTTTTTTTTTTAAGGAGGTGTTGTAGGTGTTGATAGCCACTGGCAGGAAGGATCTTCTGTATCGGTCTGTCTTGCTCCAGATCTGGGAAAGTCTCATACTGAAGATACTCAGTTGTTTAAAAATTTTCTGAGAAGTATGGTCACTGTTGTACATAATATTCTTCACTTTTTGAGGAATTCTTATTCTTGAAATAATCTCCAGAGGTTCTAGAGGAGTTCTTTGAACAGAGGTGTCCTTCTTTATTAGCTTGTTGAGCTTTTTTTTAAATCATTACCTCTAAAACCGTTACCCCAGCAGATGGTCGCAGAAGAGATCTCACTCTCCACAACAGAGGTAGGAGGTAGGCAGCATCTTGCTGCAAACACTGAAGGACCTAAGCTTCCTTAGGAAGTACAATCTGCTCCGTCCCTTCTTGTTGGCGGCTTCCCGTTTGTGTCTCCAGTCTTAATAGTTTTGAACTTGTTCTTGTTTCTTCTGAAATCTACAATTATCTCCCTTGTTTTGTTGACATTCATGATCACATGACTGTTTCTACAACATGCCACAAAACAGTTCTCCAGCCCTCTGTACTCGGCTTCTTGACCATTTTTGATGCAACCAATGACTGCAGAGTTATCTGAGTATTTCTGCAGATGATAGGGCTGTGTCTGGCACTGTAGGTCAGACATGTATAGAGTAAAAGGAAAGGAGAGAGCACCGTCCCCTGTGGTGCTCCTGTGCTGCTGTCTACTTGATTAGACAGTTGACCCTTCAGGCTAAAAAACTGTGGTCTTTTTATCAGGTAGTCTCTGATCAAGGTGATTGTTGATGCCTCTACCTGAGTCTTCTGAAGTTTCTCATGAGTAATTCAGGGTAAATTGTGTTAAAAGTAACAGAAGTAATGTGCCCAGAAAAGTGTCGGATTTTAACAATGTGAGGTTCTCCAGAAATACAGTAGTGCAGAGAATCGATGACTTATCAGCTAACTTGAAACTTGAGCTGAGAGACAACGCTTGTGATTTAGATTTGTACCCAATAGCTTGTGATGAGAGCACACGCAACACAGACAATGCACAGCTGTTAATTTTTTTGCGGGAAATAGATGATAACTCTTGCTGCACGGAGGAGCAGCTTGACATTATCATTTTGAACCAGTGTCGGTGGCAGTTGAGAAGATGGGGCTTAAGTGGGACCAGCTCTGGCGGGTAACAACAGATGAAGCTCCGGCCATGATGGGTGAGCGCAAAGGTATGGCATTGTTGGTGTGCGCCAGTGTAAAAGAGAGTGGACTGCTAGGATGTACTATATAATCCACCAAGAAGCACTGTATGCCCAGACTATCCAGCTGGGCGATGTTTGAATACTGTTATAAAAACTGTCAAAATAATTTGAGGTAGAGCACTGTACCACAAAGAATTTCAGATTTCCTATCTGATGTTGAAGCTGAATAGGGGGATGTACTCTACCATTCTCATGTGCACTGACTCAGCTGCGGCTCTGAGCTGCAGCAGTTTTATTTGCTGAGATCTGAAATCAACCAGTTTTAAAAAGAGAAGGGCCAACCGCCTCATGAGCTAAGTGACCCGGACAGGCTTGGCATCTTTACTTGATCTTATGCATCATCTGAATGCACTACACAAGAACATAGAATGTGCCTGTACACCTGTATGTGCACATAAAAGCCTTCTGCATAAAGCTCTGGCTGTTTGAGACACAACCAAAAGGCATAGATGCTGCATCATTCACTGCGCTGTCTGAAATCACCAAAGGAGAAATATGTGTATGTGACTGCATCTCTCGTGTTGAAATTCAACCAGCGTTTCCAATATTTTTCTCTCATTGAAAAACAAATCAAGCTGTTCTCCACCCCCTTCCTGGTGGATGCAGAGGAAGTGGAAGAGAGTCTACAGTTAGAACTAATTGAAATATAATTTGATAATTCTCTGAAGAGTCAACATCAGCTTCTCTCCCTCTCTGAATTCTATCACAGTTTGGATAAGGCCAAGTTTCCTCTGATGAGACTGCAAATAATTATTTGAGCACCTGTCTATCAGCTAGAATTCTGACACTCAAAGACATGTTAGTCTGCCTTCAAAATGTTCACCTCCACTTCACTTATTATCCTAAACTAGATGCACCTGTCTGAGGTCGTTAGCAGCATAAAGACACCTGTTCACCCTATACAATCAGTAAGACTCTAACATGACCAAGGCCAAAGAGCTGTCCAAACAGACTAGAGACAAAATTGTACACCTGCACAAGGCTGGAAAGGTCTACGGGGAAATTGCTAAGCAGCTTGGTGAAAAAAGGTCCACCATTGGAACCATCAGTAGAAAATGGAAGATGCTACTGTAAACATGACTGTCAATCTCCCTCTTGCAAGACTTCCTTCAGTTAGACTAGAGCATTGAAGATGGGTCAAGGTTGGTTATTCCAACATAATAATGACCCGAAGCACACAGCCTGGATAACCAATGAGTGGTTCTGTAAGAAGCATATCAGGAAGCATGGCCTAGCAACTCTCCAGACTTAACCCCATAGAGAATCTTTAAAGGGAGATCAGACTCTGTGTTTCTTATTGACAGCCCAGAAACCAGACTGATCTAGAGAAGATCTGTGTTCAGGACTGGGCCAAAATCCCTCCTGCTATGGGCGCAAACCTGGTGAAAAACTACAGGAAACGTTTGACCTCTATAATTGCAAATAAAGGCTACTGTACCAAATATTAACATTGGTTTTCTCAGCTGTTCAGATATGTATTGATATCATTCAAATAAATAGTTAAAATATCATACATTGTTATTTCTGGATTAAAAAAAATAATTGTTTTAGATTATGCCTCTCAAAGTGGACATGCACCTACGATGATAATTTCAGACTGCTCCAGGATTTCTAAATGGGAGAACTAGCAGGATGAAGGAACATAGCAGGGTGTTCAAAAACTTATTTTCCATACGGTGCAACCAATCTTTTAGGCACAAAAAAAAATAATTAGTGAGAACAAAATGGAGATGAGGTGAAATTATTTTTTGATGCTTTTTACTGCTTTACGTTTTTTGTCAAATGGAAAGAAGAACAGCACAACCGAAGACGTCTATTTTAAAACCATGCTTTGTTTAAAAGAGTAGAATTACAAGAATTAAGAGTCTTACATTCTGTTGCTGAAAGTATTACACATGCAAGTGAATACTTACTTATTAGATCAAGAGAAAAAAATCCCAAATGAGAAAAGGACAGACTGGATTTTCATATGGGTTATAACTCCTGCTATGTAGTTTAAAAAATAGCTAACGGGAGGGCAATGCATCTGTTTTCAGTAGATACTGGGGACTTAAAAAATTAACAACAAAAAAAACAGATGGATAACCTGTAGAATTCAAATTGAACTACTCGTATCAATCTAGGAAGGCTCTTGTAGAAAGTGTTTGCAAAAAGGAGGTACATTCAGTACAGACAATTCATCTTGCTTGCAAGGCAAGTAAAAAATATGCAAGTTGTTCTAATTAATTAAATAATTTTTCCTTGTACAAACTTACATTAAATATACATGTTCATTCATGTTTATTATCACATCACAATAAAATAAACCTTTTAATTGTTTAAAGTGTTAAACTACATTTATAATACAAAGTTTCAGCCTTGTAAAGAAATACAGAATATTCTAAAAACATTTACATTACCAGCGCCTAGCTGGTGAAAATAGAGACAGTTTTTTCGAAATATCTAAAATGTAACTTTATTCAGACCGATGTCTATTAACTAGGGGTGTGGGAAATAATTGTTTTGGCTATATATCGTGATATTCGGCTACCCAATATAATATCGATCTTTCACTTCTTAGTATCGATTTTCAAAAAAAAAAAGGTTACATAAAACATTGATTTAACTGTGCATGCAGCACCAAAACTGTATTTGAGGCAGTCACAGTGGAAGAAAACCCCAAACAACATGGATAATAATACCTAATCGATATTTTCTGATGAAAATATACAGCACTTGCTGTTTTATCTCATCATTTGATTTTGATAGCTGGGGAAAATATGGCAATATATAGTGATACTGCAATATCATGATAATATCGTATCGTGACCCAAGTATCGTGCCATGTATCGAATCGCAACACTCATGCCAATACTCACCTCTACTATTAACACGATAAAGTAGGGCTGGAACGAATGGAAACTTACTTGAAGGACTCTTCCACTGTGGCTATCTCCACAGGGTAAAGTTGGACATCCTCCTGCTCTGTGCTCACTCTGAAACATGAAGTTTAAAAAATTTGTTTAAATCCTGCTTATTGTACCTGCTGCTGTTTACAGAATTTCAAAAGAAAACAGGATTCTGTAGTAATTATAAAGTTTCCTTAATATTTAGGGGAGATTAAAGCTGCAGTCTGTTACATTGAGAAGAGAGCAGACTTCGACTGAAAATTTGAAGAAAAACAGGTTTCACGCCACTCCCCCACCCTCTCTGCTTCACTCATGCCCCACCTCCAAGCTCCACCCCTCTCACAGCATCTGCACGGCTACCGCATGCGACCAAAAGCGTCCAAGCAGCGTGCGCGGCATGGAGTGTGAACTGTTAAGAGCGATAACAGTCACCTCCAAGCAGCTAGAGGCAGGGATGTAAAAAGAGCAAATGTAAGAGGCAGTAAGGGCAGTTTCTCTTTCGCTGGTGGCTGTCGCTCCGCCATGACTTCCACGCGCGTCCTCCTGACTGCGGCAGCCGGGCGGCAGC